TGTGTGTGTGTGTGTGTGTGTGTGTGTGTGTGTGTGTGTGTGTGTGTCTGTGTCATCAAGGCAGGATATCTGCAAAGGGAAAGGAGACTAGCAAGCAGGAGAGAGGGGACAAACACGAGCAAAGTACAACGATAATAACAATAAAATCTATTATTCTATATAATGACCAAAAAAAGAGTAATTGGAAAGACAAGCTGCAGAAGCTGGCTAGGCCTTGGCTCACATTGATTTTAAAATGTAATCAACATTAATGCTTAGAACTTTATAATAAGGCCACTATATGTCTTACCTCGGAAACAGTAGCTGCGATATTAATATTGCTTGCCTGCCCGTTCATTAGGTCCATGCTTCCCTCATCAGTCCCTGATTCTATATCAACAGCAACAGGTCCAATTACTTCATGTCCAAGGCCACAAATACATTATTCCTGTTAGAAAAAAAGAAGAAATCAAAATGTGTGTCTTCCTCTAAGTCCATGAAAACAGCCATGCTGCTGCCACGCTGGGGACAATCTGTCAGTCTGCTTAATTTTTTTTTCACTAAACCACTGTGTTTGAAAGATCAGAAATAGGAAGTGTATCAATAGTCACTACCAATGCAGTGAAATAAAAGTGCAACTTCACTCACTAAGAGAACACTGTGAGGGGAAAGATCAAACTGCACAGGACTTTTAGGTTAACTAAGCAAGTATCTGAAACATGTGGCAAAGTAATACATCCCCCAACTCTGTGGTGTTTTAAAGGTTCAAATGCCACCTCCAGATTAACAATACTGAAGAAGCTTGCCATTGTTGCTCTACCAAGATACCACAAATACAAAAAATATTGTAAGTTATGACACAAAACCACAACACATGGTATGTTCATTTGTACAGGGCTTTAAGGTTTGCTGAGTAGCCTCCATCCGCGATCCCACTGAAAACACGGGTGAAAAGAGGATCTGTACTTGCAGTGGGACAACAATGCCATCGCTAGTCCCACAGAACACAAAGGACAGCCTCTGGGACACCAGCAGGCAAGTGAGGAAGGAAGAACACGACTCAAGACATGTAAAACTCTAGCCAAATATCCTTGCATTAACATTGTTGTTTATTTCCACTTTACTAAAATCGGAATATTCACTTGAGATTTCAGTGTCTTTCCCAAACAATACACCATAAATTCTTCTTTTCCATATACTGACAGGGGTAAACAGACTTTAAGTTCCTTCCTAAACTCAAGTATCTTTCTTCGTAAAAGAAACTATACATTAGGCACTCTACATTATTTACCATACAAACTGAAATGTCCATGATAATCCACCAATCCTATTTCCTTTCTGTAACAAGTGCAGGCTCTGCTGGACCTGGTGACACAGCCTGCACTCTCAGCTAGGCAGGGTCTGAGCAGGATGACCACAAGCCCAAGGGCAGAGCAGGCCACCGACAGGAGGGCGAGGGGGAGGTGGGCAGGCAGCGGAAACACAGCTCAGCAGTAGAAGGTGCTTGGGGAAGGACCTAGGTTCAACTCCAGTACAGACTTCCCTCCACCTCCCAGCAAACCATGAGCTTACAGTCTACATCTCAACACAACAAATTAGCTTTTATGTAGTTTCCTCATGTATAAAATGGGAAGCAGTAAGTGTCCACTTCGCAGAGCTGTGGTGGAGAAAACTGAACCAATACGCAATTACAGATGACAAATATGCTCCTACAACAATGCAATGAGAATCATAAAGTTTAAATCTAACAGTTTCCAAACAAAGAAAAAAAGGCAAACTCTTTAAATATACCGCTGGCAATCAGAGTGTATCTGGTGAGCACCATAAGAATCCTACCATGCAAGGAATGAGGATCTGTTTCTTAGATGGACCAAACAAGCCCCTGGGGTTTCAAATGCTTCAAAAATCGTAACTAATGACAGCAGCTTCCAACAAGCACAGATCATCTTCATTTCCTCAGATTAGCCTTAGGACCGTCTAGGGACATAACACCATACGACAATTTTTAAGATAGAGTTCAATTAATAGGGTTTAGAAACCATTTATAAAATCATTATGAAAATCAAGAGCACAGAAATTCCTCACACTATCTCACTACACAGGCTCCATTATCCTTACGGTATCCCGCGAAGGTGAGGTTGACATTTGCCCTGCTATACTAAAAATCAGCTTGTGCTAGGCATGAAGATATACATCTGAAACCCCAACCCTGTGCGGCCAAAGTAAGAGATCACAGCCCAAGACCAGCCTGAGCTATACAACAAGTTCTCGGTCAGCCTGGGCTACACAGTGAGATTCAATCCTAATAAATAAATATTTTAAAACCCAGCTTTATGATTCATTATACATTAAGACATTTGAATCAGGTTTTCTTGGCCTACTTTCAATTTTACTCTCAGAGAGAGAGGGGAAGGGAGGGGGAGAGAAGGAGAGAGAAAGAAGGGAAGGAGAAAGGGAGAGAGTATGTGAGTGTTTTGAATCACAATCTTACTCTGCAAACCAGACTGGTCTAAAACTTTACTACAGAGCCTAAGCTGGACTCTGATTTTCTCTGGCAGCAATGTTCATTTTGTAACATGTTTTCAAATGATTTCCTATTCTGTGTGTGGCAGGTGACAAGAATGTGTAAGTCTAGAGATCCCCCTAGTGTTAAGGAAAAAAATTGACTTAATTTTATCTTTAACCTATTTTACATGTTAGATACATAAATTTTACATATATACATATTTATGTTAGATACATAAATAAAGGTAATACAAACTAGAAATAAATGTTAATGCATTTGAATCAGGTTTTCTTTGTTTGCTTTCAATCTCTGTGTGTGTGTTTTCTGAAACAGATTGTTTTCATAATCTAGATTGGTCTAGAATTTACTATAGAACCTAGGTTGGCCTAAAATCTATGGTAATCCTCCTGCCTCATGTCCCATGCTTGACTTTGCCAAATTTTATTAAAATATTTCATAAACCAAGTTACATTAAAATCTACTATGTGGGAAACTAAAAGAACATGATTTATTCTTTTGGTATACATCTCAAGACAAATTAAATGAGAAAAATATACATTAGTTTGTTTCGTTTTACTAGGGATATAAAGTGGCGCACTCATTCATGACTACAGATATCACAAAAACTATTTTCTTAGTTAAGTTCACTAATTTCAACTTACTCCCTTCTAGTTCTGAAGATATTTATTCTGGCTGTCTTCTGGGTTCTTTCCAACCAGCAATGAGTCCCCAAGCAGAAAAACCTTGAAATGTGAAGATTTAGATCCTTGCTTTAGCTCACAAACTAGATCATCAAACTGCAGAAATCAATCATTTCGCCTCCCAACTGCCCATCTTTTCAAGGGTACTCCGATACTTCAAGTTTTTTGTCTTTTTCCTTTAATAAACAAAAGATTAAAGGTGATGGGGAAATTGGCTATTAATTGGTCTCAGGGCGGGCACAGCTGCACATTCTTTCCTAAGATGATATATGCTACAGACATATTAGCTGTCTTACAAAATATACACTATTTTTGTTACAATTTCTATAATTTTGTTGAATATATTTTCTGGGCCTTTGATCTGGAATTCTTCTCCTCCTTCTACCCATATTATTCTTAGGTTTGGTCTTTTCATGGTGTCCCAGATTTCCTGGATGTTTTGTGTTAAGAATTTGTTGGATTTGCTGTTTTCTTTGATCAATGAATCTATTTCCTCTATTGTATCCTCAGCACCTGAGATTCTTTCTTCTATCCCTTGTATTCTGTTGGTTATACTTGTTTCTGTAGTTCCTGTTCCGTTTACCCAGATTTTCCATATCCAGCCATCCCTCGATTTATGCTTTCTTCATTACCTCCATTTCAGTCTTCAAGTCTTGAACTGTTTCCTTTACCTGTTTGATTGCTTTTTCTTGGTTTTCTTGGGTATCTTTGAGGAATTTATTAATTTCTCTTAACGTTTTGTTTGTCTTCTCTTCTATTTCAATAAGGGAGTTTTTCACTTCCTATTTAAGGGTCTCCATCATTTTCATAAGGTTACGTTTAAAGTCTATTTCTTCTACTTCTTCTGGACTAGGGTGTTCAAGTCTTCCTGTTGCGTGTTCACTGGATTCTGGTGTTATCATGCTGCTTTTCAGGATGTTGGAGGAATTCTTGCATTGGCGCCTGCCCATCTCTTCCTTCAAATGAGGCCAGCAGAGTCTTGGCGTCTTGGTCCAATCTTTGCTGTGGCTGACTGTGTACTTGGGAGTTTTTCTTGGTCTGCCCTCTCTTAGGTCCCCTCAGCACTGGAACAGGCTCTCAGACCCCCTGCGCCCTGAAGCAGGCTGTGCTAGGGGATCCAAAGACCCCGCAGATGAAAAAGGCAGGCTTGGGGAGCAGGGTGGAATGGGGTAAAGAAAGCCAGCAGCCAGAAACACACCCTGCTGGATGGTCAGAAAAGCTTAGGGAATTGTAGGGGGCCTGGACTCAGTTCCCCAGGACCATCCATCCATGCAGCTACTCACTCACCTCTCTGGATCCGTTCAGCATGAGAGTAGGGCCTCTTGCTGGGCTCCAAGGACCTCACAGACAAAAAGGCGGGTTTGGGAGGCAGGGTGGGATGGTACAAAGCCCCAGTGGCAGGAACACTCACTGCTGGCTCCCTGGACCCCTCAGATGAAAAGGAGTGCTTAGGGGCAGGATGGAATGTGGTAAAGAAAGCCAGCAGCCAGGAACACACCCCACTGGATGGCCAGAAAAGCTTAGGGAATTGGAGGGGGCCTGGACTCAGTTCCCCTGGACCATCTGGCCACGCGGCCACTCACTCACCTCTCTGTTACTCAATTTCCTATAACAAGGAAACTAGGAGTGATGTGAAATTAAGTGTTGCAGTTTCTCAGGAACTATTTGGACAACAAAACATCACTGATAACTCTATACATTCATTCACCCTTCCTTCTCTGGGTTGAGAGTATTACAGTATAGCACTCAACCCAGAGAAGGAAGGGTGAATGTATAGTTTCAGGTGCTAAAGGAAATAAAGTTTAGTTATATGCAAAAGACAGTACAGTTACTTGTGCCTTTCAGAGTTATCAGTGATGTTTTGTTGCCACTGTAAGTTATGACAGACAGCTAGTTCTTTCTTCTTTAACATTTAATTTAAGTAACATTCAAAGCCACACTTTCTGTTACTCATGTTCAAAGGTGTGAGCAGCAAGTGCACAAGCACCGACAAGCCTACCCGACCATGTGACTTTACTTTCTGTTAACCTAAGAAAATGAGGTTAGTTCCAGATTCCAATACTTTGTTTTTATAATTAGTCATTAAAAACATTGAGTACAAATAATACTGAACTGTTTATGACAAAGTTTCGTAAAAAAAAAATGCAGTTGCCTCTTAAAACTTTTCTGGTACAGTACTAAGTGATTATCTCTGCTATTTACAGTTCACAAAAAGCTTTAATATTAGAAATTTCAAAAGAA